CATCCTTAGCAACATCTTTTAGTCTCCGCATCTCAGATGGAGTGTGTGTTTCATAAGATGCTATAATACAGATTCTCATGATCAACGCTTAGTCTTATGAGCAAACTAGTCTCTCTGGGAACAAAAGCATAGAAAGAAAGAATGTGAGACAAAGGTGAATTTAACTAAGCATCCCAAATTGAGGATTTAAAAAGAATGTTACTAAGCAGTCAGCCTCCACAGACAGCTAGAACTTGAGTCTCAGGATTTTCTGAGAGAGCAGAAAAATTATGTTTCAGATATATTGTCTCTTGAGATGAAGAGAGGAGCATTGTTTATAATCCCATGCCCTCCATAAACTAAGTGAGACCACTGGATCCTCAAAAATGTTTTCACATCAAAATGTGTTGTAGATTTTCACAAACAGATAATACCATGATATCAGAGAACCTGAATCAGAAAAAGTCCTGAGAAATGTGTAGAGATGGTCTCTACATCAATAATGGGGTGAGAGCAGGATCCAGGGGATTTAGGGAGTGATGAAAAGGTTCCAAAAACATGTCTCAAGAAAGCCCCAGGACAATAAAGTTGGAAGAAAAATATTTCCCCATCTTCTGAGAAGAGAACCAATAGGAAAACCTAAGATAGCTGAGGATGTGGGATGTACCATCAAAATCTGTGAGCATTATCTTCTCTGCAACTGAGGCCAGATCCCTGGGCATCAGCAACATTGCCAAGGAGGAAACAGAGTTTCTCAGAACAGTAAAAACTGCCTCAGACACTCACTGTGCCAACCAAACAAACATGATCAACAGGGTTGGGGTTAAATTAACTCAAACTGTTTACGGCAGAAAGGCTTTGGCTGGGGAAATGAAGCATCACTCAGAGAAGAGAGTGAGGAAGCGATCCCAGGGAGAGAAATGTAAAGAGGAACTTTGTCTAGAACAAAGATCTATAATCCAAGGGGGACGTGAAAAAGACATACTTCCAAAATGAGTATCAGGTCATCGGAGCCACTGAGGGAGCCAATACCATTCACAAATGGGTTGATGGAGGACAGATGAGCATAAAGCAGAATCTCTAGTGGAGCAGAGATCTGGCCAGATCTCTATGTTTCTGAGAGGTGTTTGACAAGAAAGGAACCGTGACCCAGCTCTAAAGCAGAGCTAATGTGATACCAGAAACTTAGGTGTGGTGTGGCCCTGGCATTACCCCAAAGGGAAACAACTAGTCAAATGCTAGCAGAGAGAGAAGCATATACCAAGGAAAGGCAGTGGAAGCATGTGCTCCTGGTGAACCTTCACCTTCTTCCTAGCTCACACCATAAGGTGTATCACAGAATGACTCATTCCCAAATGTAGCCCTATGGCTCTCATTGATTTGGCATCCTCCCTCTCTCCTCATCCTCTTCCTACTCCTTATTCTTCCTCTCTCTTTCTTTTTCCTACTCCCTTCTTCCCATCTCCCTTCACTATTTCCCAATATCTTGCATTCCCCACTTTCACAGATCTACAAATCTATTCAGATAAAATTTCCCACTGGCTAAGAGGGACATTTTACCTTCAGCTAGTTCCCCAGGCCCAGATCCTCTGAGCAGGAGGAACCTAAACGACTCACTCATTCCACATCTTCTGTGTCCTCTGGAAGAACCAGACCCCTCCCCCATTTCACACCAATCTTTAAGAGGCCCAGTTGGATTAATTTGAGCTAAAGATTAGGGACCTGGGCAAGAAGCATAGCTTTCTGGTCCCAGAAACCAAAGAACTTCCTCCTGTTTTAATCCATTGCCCCCCAAGAAGTCCATTGTCAGTATCAAACACATCACAAGCAGTTGACACAGAATACACCCAGGTGATATCACAGTCAGAGAGTAAGTACACAAAATAGAAAGAAAGAAAGAAAGAAAGAAAGAAAGAAAGAAAGAAAGAAAGAAAGAAAGAAAGAAAGAAAGAAAGAAAGAAAAGAAGGAAAGAAGAAAGAA